GATCGGCTTAGAAATCTTCCCAAGGCCGCCAGACAACCTGTTAACTTCTGAACCTCTCGGATGGTACGAGGCGACTGCATGTCGATGACCGCTTGCACCTTCTCAGGGTTCGCCTCTATTCCTCTCTGATTGATAAGGAATCCGAGAAATTTCCCAGACTCAACTCCAAAGACACATTTCTTGGGATTGAGCATGACATGGTGCCGCCTGAGTGTGGCGAAAGTTTCTCGGAGGTCCGACAGATGATCTTTCTGAAGTTTAGACTTGACAATCATATCATCAATATATGCCTCGACATTTCTCCCAATCTGATCAAAGAACACAGTGTTTATCATTTGCTGGAAAGTGGCCGGGGCATTCTTAAGACCAAACGGCATGACCGTGTAACAGTATAACCCCTGATCAGTGACGAAGGCCGTCTTCTCCTGATCTTTCTCCCATAAAGGAATTTGATGGAAACCAGAGTAGGCGTCCATAAAGCTCATCAAAGCATGGCCGGCTGTTGAGTCGACCAGGTTATCAATTTTAGGCAGAGGGTAACTATCTTTGGGGCACGCCTTGTTTAAGTCTGTGTAGTCTACACACATTCTCCAGGTGCCATTCGGCTTTTTAACAAGCACCACATTTGCAACCCAGTCTGGGAAGTAACATTGCCGAATGAACCCTGCATCAAGTAATTTTTTAACTTCGGCGGCTGCCGCCTGACTTCTTTCTTCGCCATGGTTCCGCTTCTTCTGCCGTACCGGCTTCTTTTTCGGATCCACGGCCAGTTTATGTACCGCCAGATCAGGACTAATGCCTGGCATTTCATGGACTTCGAATGCAAAGATGTCCTTGTATTCTTTCAATAGTTTGTGAAAGTCGTCACCCAGGTCCCTTAGAGCAGTCGTCCCAACCTTGATTGTTCTGTCAGGACGCGAGTCATCTAACATCAGGTCCGTATGCTCACCAGCTGGCTGAGGGCGGAATTCATCCGACCGCTCCTCTGCCAATGATTGCTATTTTCTGTCTTTTCTTGCGGCCCCTGTCTGGGATGCCTTTCTCTTCTTGCCGCCTGCTTCTTGAACAGGCGCACTCTCCTTGACATTGTCAAGGTTTATTTTTCCATCGCTCGACATAGTGGCCATAACAGTGGGCTTGGCATCCGAGAGATAACACTCTCGGGCCATTTTCTGATATCCCCTTAGGGACGCGACTGTTCCATTATCCCTCTCAAACTTGAGCAACATAAGAGATAGGATTATAACAGCCTTGGAATTATTCAGGGTTGGTCGTCCCAGAATCATGTTGTAGGCCGAGAGTTCTTCTACTACCAGGAACCGGACTACCATGTGTCGTCCTTCCCCTTTTTCGCCCAGGCGGATGGGTAAATCCACTCGTCCCACTGGGTGGACGGCTCCTCCTCCAAACCCTACTAAAGGATGGGATGCCGGATGTATGCAATCAGTCTGATATTTTAGTTTCGACAGACATTTGCTACTGATGAGATATGAGGAGCTTCCGGTATCTATGAGGATTCGGCCAACTCTCTGGTTGGCCACTTTACATTCAATAACGATAGGGTCGTCATGCGGCCCTCTTACCCCTCCTAGATCTTCTTCAGTGATGACAATCTCAGGAAATGAATATTTGGAGGGTCGTTCTTGGTGAACGGAATTTACATCTAACCGTCTGATATTGTCTTTGTTGCCCCTAATAGTGGGGCCGCCTCCTGAGAAGCCGCCTGCAATGGTGTAGACGACTGCATCATCTGTATCGGAGCTGTCGGCCTGTTGATTCTTTTTGGTCGACTGCTTTTTTGAGGAAGTGTTCCTCGTAGATTTCTTGACATAAGTGTCAAGATCACCTTTTTCAGCCAGGCGGTCCAGATACCGCATGAGACTGATGCATTCATTGGTGTGATGACCAACATCTTCATCATAATCACAGAATTTTTCTTGGTTCCGATTGTTTGCAGAACCCTTCATGGGGACCGGCTTCTCAATTGAGATCCGTCCCTTGATTTCCTTTAGGATAAATTGGCTATCCTTGTTAAACACATACTTTGGGGAGTATGGTTTGAATTCTTTTTTCTTCTTCTGGGACGGCTGTTTAGAGGAATCAGTTGCCCAGACCTCTTTTCTCTTCTCGTCTTTGTTTGACGACTGCTTCTGTCGTCCTTCTCTTTTGTCGGACCTTTTCCCGTCTGACTGTTTTACCGTACTACAAATATCAGTCGCCTGTATATAGGCTTCCGCTTCAATCAAGGCCTCTTGAAGAGTCGCCACCCTCTTTCGGACCAAATCAAATTTGAAGGTCGACCCGTCTTTGAGACCTCTGAAAAAGTCAGTATAGGCTACTTCATCCGGTAACCCTTGAATCTGTATTCTCATCAGGTTAAACTGCCTGATGTAAGAACGAAGCCCCTCCTTCTCGCCCTGCTGAATTGTTCCTAAATCAAGGGTCGTCTTCTTCGCAGGGATGTTCATGGCGAAGTTGGAGGTGAATAAGTAAGCAAGCGTCTTGAAGTTATTTACACAACCAGTCGGCAGGTTGCCGAACCATTGTTGTGCGATTCCTTTGAGAGTCGCTGGAAAACACTTGCACCAAGTGGGATCATCCAACCCTTGAAGGTACATCAGGTTGGTGAATGCCATCAGATGGTCTTCTGGGTTAGTAGTGCCGTCATAGGCGCCTACTAATACATTTTTCACTTTGGTCGGCTGAGCGGCTTCAGTAATTTCCTTGGAGAAGGCCGACGGCTGTTCACCAAGTCTAAGCAACCGTAGCTGCCAGTCCATAGGTTGGACATTTTTTGCTGCATGTTCACCAAACGGAGGTGGCTGTAAAAAATATTGTTGTTGCGGTACAAACGGTAAGTTTGGTACCGCCTGGTCGCTATGAAAGCCGGACTGACGGGAGGTGCCGCCTGACTGACTCTCATGATACGACTGAGTATGCCTCTTCGAGGTATTTCGCAGACTGTCTTGGAAGTTTGAAGTAGAGGCCGACTCTGACAATCGGTCACTCTTCTTTTGTTCTAGCAATAGCCGAGCGTCTGTGTATGCTTTCCTCGACCCGTCCGCCTGAATATGACGAACAAGTTTCCTATTTCCTGGAGTAGGAAAACGGTATTTTGTGAAATCAAGGGCAGGTGGCTCCCACTTCCTAGATTTAGGATGAGGGGTCGCCTCTCGCCTTTGAACTGGCTTCCTCTTCCGTGAAGTGGAGGGTTTCTTAGCCGACTGCTCCTTGTCCAGAGCAGGCAGCTTCTTGTTGATCAACTCTTGAATTTCTCCCTTGAAGTCCCTCATGAAGGTCATGAGTTCGTTCCTTGTGATGGGAGCAGACCCATCAGTCGGCTGCTGCCGAACAGGCGGTGCGCCTGCTGGCTCGCTTCCAGTTTGAAGATGTTCCCGTTCCCTCCTTTCGGTATGACGGGTACGTCGGGCCCTTAGGGTCCCATCTGAAGCTGTGTGAGCTTCAACTTCAAATTCATTCTCAGTATCGTGGTCCGACTGAACTAGAGGGTCGTCCAGGGGACGTCTCTCTTCAGAAGCCGGTACAAACGTGGATGCCATCTCAGAAGTACTCTCCCCACAGACGGCGCCAAAATGTTTCGGGGTTTTCTGATGTCCTGCGGGAGAGTTACAATTCCGTGACTGGAACCGGACGCCTGTACCTGCAAAACAAACGGATGCTCCGGATGATTGGAGATCCGCCTCCGACGGTCAAGTTAATACTTGATTAAGGAGTAATTAATGCGGAAATTAAAGTGATTGGGTCTCTCTAGGTGAGAGAGTTTAATGTGTGTAATCTGCGTAATCTCCCTTAATGAGGATTAAGGGAGGTATTTATAACCTCGGGAAACGTGCCAATCTAGGTTTAGGTTAACCTTGGGCTGATTGGGCTTCCCTCGGAAGTTGGGCCCGGGTGGCCGACTTCTCCATTAGGCATGGAGTATGCCACGTGTCATGACATAATAGGTCCAAGGCGGACGAATAAGCGTGTGCCACGTGGCAAGCCCTGAGAGGTCCAACTGGGGAACACTTGGCAGGACCTGATTAGCCCACGTGGCGCATTCCGATTGGTGGGAGCAAAATCCCCTAATCAATAACCATATTTTTTTCATTTCTACAAGCCTTCATTAACTCAATCCGGATACATGATATTTCACTCTTCATCTCTTGTACATCTTCCTCCAAATTCTCCTTCTTCAATTGTAGTTTCTTAATTTTGTCTTCTCTTATCTTTTGCTCATACTCCAATTCCAAGATAATTGTGTCTTTCTCCAACATCTTCTTTTGGTAGTCTTCAACCTCATTGTTGTCAATGAACCACTTGAACATATCGCAATGGGTATCCTACAAACAACAAAAACTTCATTAGATAGCTACAATCCATACAAATTAACTTCAATTACGCAAAACATACAAACTTACTGGCCACAACGGACATCCATAGAATTTACACCCCAAATTAGGCCCTTGTCTCACTGTTCTAACCACAACATATTTCCCGCACTTGCATTGAATTTTTGGATGAGTATCCCTTCTTGAGTTTGAAGATGACCCAGATGCATTAGAAGATTGCCTTCTTGAAGACATGAGACCAGAAAAAAATAAAATAAAAGGGGGAGCACAAAATTTAAAATAAAAATAAAAACTAGAGGATTATTGAGCGGAGGAGGGGAACAGGGGAGAAGAACGAGAGAGAGCTAGGTGAAATAAAGGGGGAGTATTTAAAATTCAAATAAACCCCAACGGTCATTGCCGCGTAAGCATTCTACCTACAACATCCGATTACCATTTTAAGATGTCCTATTTTAAGAAGATAAGGGTAAAAGGTCGTTTTATTGGGGGATTTTCAAAAGTTCGTTTTATTTTGGACGGACGGAGCATATGTCATAATATTCCTGTCAATTTTTCCTAAAAACAATTCTAAAGAATAATTATGGAATTTAGAAGTCATATATACTAGTATGAGATCTCATACCAATTCATTTTTATGGAACCAAACGATCCATTAAACATTATCATAAGTGTAATTACGGAGTATAGAAACCCTCAACGCGTGCGACTAAAGATTTTAGAAAAAAGAGTGCAACGACTGGCAGGAGTGCAGCCCTCTGGTCATCGTATTGCTTTTCCTCCTTCATCTTCCTTTCAATCTCTCTCCTCTGGTAAACAAATTCTTCTCCTTTCTCTGTTTCAATCTTTTTTCTCATTTTATTTTTGAGTTTTTTGGTTCAAATTACCTGTCTTTCTGTGTTAATATATACGCTTTTAATTGATCAAATTACCCTGTCAAAAATAGTAAAAAACAAAACTGATCAATTCAGCTTCTTGTATTTAATTTCTGTGTTTCCTTCAGATTATCGATTTTGTAGATCAAATAAATTTCAAAAATTTAAATGGGTTCATGAATTGATTATGCTTTCCTCATGTTAATCTGTTTAATACTAAGTTAGTGATATACGAAGTATGAAATAATTGAAATTGCATTTGGGTTTCAGTGAATTATGGAAATTTGAACACCCTTTTGGGTATTTGAGTAGTTCTGCTTATTTTAGTCTGTAATTGTATGTTTATGTTTTTGTTTAGAATTGTGAATTAGGTTAAACCTACATAATGTGGGTTTTCCAATTTGTTGAATTATTTGTATAAAATTCATGTTGTTTCACTGATAGCATTTGTTATATGATCATTAGGTTGATCACTTGAGTCACAAAAGATGAGAACGAAACCAAATTCTTTGATTGATGAAAAATATTGTGGGATTGAAAAGAGGCAGATGAGCTTAATCAAGACAGTACTAGAAAAAGCTGCCAAACTGCAAACTTGTTTGACACCTTCTTTACCTAATGATTTGATATTTCAGATCTTTCTGAAACTTCCAATTAAATCAATTTTGAGATTTACTTGTGTTTGCAAGGCATGGTATAAGCTGATCCATTGTGCTGAGTTTGTTTCGGCTTATAATGCTCATGCTCAAAATACCCCAGTCATACTCAGAAGAATTTATGGGGAAAGATCGAACACTTTCCATGCCGAAGCCCAACTCAATCTATCCATAAATTTTAGTCTCTTCCCTTGCAGCTTGGGGTCTAGACGACGAAGCAAGTTCATCTATTTCTTAGAGATTGAAAATGAGAAGGGCAAGCTTCTTGACCTTTATATGAGTTGTTATGGCTCAGTTGTATCCTCTTGCAATGGATTGATTTTGATCACTTCTAAGCATGAAGTGCTTGGGAGGTATAGAGATTCATCTTTGGACCAGCCTTTGGTTGACAGCAAAGAAAACCCAGGGCAATTGATTGTGATGAATCCTATGACTAGGAAGTTGATAGGGTTTCCGCTAGGAACTCTTCCTTTTAAACTTCACGATGAGTCGTATGGGCTGGTGTTTAGCCATTCAAAGGGTGTTTATAAAGTGGTGCATTTGTTCAAGGATAAATCAGGGTGTATTGCTTGTGAGATTTTGAGCTTGCAGACAAGATCATGGAAGGCGGTTGATGGACCAGTTGGAGTACTTTTTCGTAATTTTGGCCAAGCACCCATTCCAACTGTAGGAGCTTTGCACTGGCTTCTTGGTTCTTTTGGTTATGATTACATAATCTCTATGAAGGCCGACGATGAAAATTTCTTCATAACCGACCTTCCAAAGACTATGGATAAGTATGATAGGCTAGTCGCAATGGGTGGTTCTTTGAGTTTTGTGAATGGTTTGGACAAAGACCACATAGAGGTGTGGATCTTGAAAGGGTTAGAAGGAACAAAATGGGTCAAACAACATACTATTCTTATTGATGCTAGTTTGGGTTTGGATTATGTGGTGTATGGTGATGTGGATTATGAAGAGCATGTTAATGTGGATGATGAAGAGCATGGTAATGAGGAGATTGAAGGTAATGAGGAGCATGGTAATGAGGATAATGAGGAACATGATAACGTGGATGACGAGGATAATGGGGAGCTTTTGAATTTGGACAATGAGCAGCATGTAAATGTGGGTGATGAGAATAATGAGGGGTTTGGTTTTGTGGATAATGATTATTATTCATTATCTTGTTTTGCTTTAAATGCCAAAGAAATGGTGTTCAGGAGAAGAGATAAATTGTTTGCATATGATTTTGAGCTTGAAGAAATCAGAGAGATCAGAATGGACCGTGGAAAATTTTTGGCACATGATACTATCATACCTCACGCCAATAACCTTGCTACCTGGGAACCTCTTGAATCTATGAGGTAAATGCATTTTAGGCTAATCTCTTCAAGGTTACTACTAGAGTTTGTGGTTTCTTTGTGTTTTTCCCCCCTTCTCATCAGTTTATCTAATAGATATATAGATTCTCATGCTTCTGTTAAGTTCAATCTAACTTGATTGCACCATTGTAAAGAGCATAACAACAGATTGAGTGCATACAAGGATCTTGTTTTTTTGAATTGACTAAGTTTGAAATTTGATGAAGTTAGTCGGAAGAGCTTTCAATTTCCTGCATGCACTTACTCGTTCTTCGAGTCTTGGCAAAGGGTAGATGTGTGTAGTCATGTTCTTATGTTGACAAAACTGGTGATATGTTCATTTTATATAGAGATTTACCTCCGTCCCTTGGTCATATTTAGGAGTATTTTTGGTTTTTCAAAGTCACTTTTATTAAAACAAGTTTAGAGGCGCACGCAATGCGTGCACGACTATCCCTCCTCTTTATACTTTGTGCAAAATGTTATCTTTATAATTTACTTATTTGCATAAATGGCATATATATTGACATAATTTTATTATTCCGTAATTTTTATAATTAGTAATGTTAAGAACCCATTCAAGGGATGAGCTATTAAAGAAAACCATGCAAAACAATCCTAGATTTTACTTTGCACGGGCTTTATTTATTTTTTATTTCTTTATGCATTATACAGGTTAAATAAATTTCATTGTATTTATGTATCATTTAAATCATACATATACTTGTAAAATAAGTTCCAATTTATTTATCAAACCAATAATACATACTTGTAAAATATGTGTACAATGTAAATATTCGTACTACTAATTAAATTATAATATGTTGCTTTTATACTTATATAAAAGTTAAAAAATCATATGCAAACTTACAAAACACTGACTTTTAAAACACCAAGTGTCAAATTTATATCACCAAAAAAAAGGAAAAATGATGAAAAAATAAATATTCCCGAATTAAACTAATATACAGTGTAACATAACTACACTTGAAGGAATTATTTGATTTGAGAAAAAATATCCACCCTAAGAGAAGTTATCTTTTAAATTCATTGAGTAGTTAAAAATGGAAGTTATTTTTTAAGGTTAAACTTAAAATATATTTTAATTTTTTTTTAATTATAATAATTTTTTTAGAGATCGAGGGTAAAATGGTCCACTAAAAAATTCCCAACCAAAAACACCTCTTCTCTTTATATATTACATAGATTTTATTTTTTTTAATTATAATAATTTTTTTGGAGATCGAGGGTAAAATGGTCCATTAAAAAATTCCCAACCAAAAACACCTCTTCTCTTTATATATTACATAGATTTTAATTTTTTTTAATTATAATAATTTTTTTGGAGATCGAGGGTAAAATGGTCCATTAAAAAATTCCCAACCAAAAACACCTCTTCTCTTTATATATTACATAGATTTGTGTTTTTTAGTGTTCTCGTAGTCTTAGTATTATTTATAGGAAATTGCGTATTTGGAGATTTTCCCTGACTTATTGGAGCAACTACGAGCATTGGAGTAGGAGTGCATTCATATGATCATTTTCTGTAGCCCAAGACCGGTTAGAGTTATCAAACCGATGATTAAGGGCTCGGCGAAGACCAAAGAGGAAATCCTTGGTTAATACTACGAGTAGTAAAGACCCAAAGAGGAAATCCGAGTATAGACCCAAAGAGGAAATTCGAGTACAGACCCAAAGAGGAAATCCGAGTAAAGACCCAAAGAGGAAATCCTTGGTTAATACTAGTGTTCTCGGATTTTCTAGTGTTCTCGTAGTTTTAAGCTTTTGGTTAATACTCTTGTTCTCTCTCTACACTTTTAGTTTATGCAATTCATTATTTCCGTTTATTTTGGTAACGATTCTTCCCTTTTTATTTTCAGTAATTTAATTGCTTTGATTAATTATGTCTTATTAATTTGTTTTGCTTTGCTTAGTTTAGATTTAAATATGTGTGAGTAGTTTTATTTCTAGGGTTGTGGGGATCCATAGATAATATGAAGGGGGTAATTTATTATTGTTGATTGTCAATGCTTTGGTTGATTTCCTATTGACTGATTTGCTATGTAATTAGATTAGGCCTGGTTTAATTGTATGAGTTATGCAATATTGATTTGAGATTCGAGAGATGAGAATTGATGTTTAGACTTAGTTTCAATAGGCAGGTTAATTTATAAATGGTTAAGTCAAGATTCGAGAGATACGATTTAATGCCAGTAGATTAATTTTGTGATTGTAATACGTAGCGAAAGCCCTTTATGATCTGATTAATTGATGCATTGATTGATGTGTTTTACCCTGGAATATTATTTATTGGTGAACCTATACCCTAGGCTTTGATTTATTGATTTCTCCCTTATTTAATTTGCTTTAGTTTAATTATTTTCCCTTAGTTTAATTTTCACATAATAATAATTCGGTTACTTAATAGTTTAGATTTATTAATTAATTAGGAATAGAAAGACTTGTTTCTATGGGATTCGACCCTACTTCTCTATCTACTTTAGTTAGAAGACTTACGTAATTCTTTTAATTAGAAGATATGACTAGATACTTTCAACTGGACGAGTTAGTATTCTGAGATCTGTTTTAGGCTATACCAATGTATGATCTCTAGCTCTAGCATAGCATTGATCATTGGAGAACAAAAAATCTACGCTTCTGTTAAAGTAGGCATATGTGATTCATATTGGCAGCTTACATGTTTCTGCAGTGTGTATTTTCTTTCTGTCTGTAATTGTGGACACATTTCTGTATCTCTGATTAGTGATTTTTTTTTTCTTTTTTTTTTTCACTTTTACAGTTGAACTTTGATAAGTTGCCTATGCGTTGAAGTTCTAGAAGGCCGGAAGCTCACCAGTAACTGCTAAATACAAAGTATATGTATTCGATACTGTGACCATGTTCATTATCATTTTACTCGTTGGATTAGCTTGATCACTTAATTATTTGGTTCTATGGTGTGCATTGTGCTGTTACAGTCCACACAATAGTAATATTGCTGTGTATATTTGAAAAAATTGCCGTAAGTTATTAGAGTAGTTGATTTTATGTCAGATGTTGGTTATGTGTAATCGCATTCAATGGCTGTATCCTTAATTATGATGCGGCATTTTGCAAAGATGAAATTTGGGCAAGTAGCAAATCATTTTGTAAATGAAAATTTGACAAGGGAAGTTCTGTTAAGAAAGTCGGACTTCATATCTCAAAACCTGAGGAAGTGGAAGATTGCGATATTATTAATACAAAATTGTACTTGCTTAAAAGAAAGTACAAACATTTTTGCTAATCTTGATCGGGGTAAGTTAGCTATAATTGACATTAAGGGAATTGGGGTTACTTACAGAATGGGAAACTTTCGCTAATACTGTTTTGTGTTCAGGATTTGGCACACTGCATCATTTTGAATCTAATCTGGTGTCTGACGCTTCAATATTGAATCTAATCCTTGCAAAGTGTTATATCACATTGCTACCGAGCTCTGTTTCTTCCACGAATATGATACAATCTTTCACGAAAATCACACTGTACAGGGCCTGGGTCCCTATCTCGGGGTAGCCAGTCTGGGAGTTTGGGTGGATATTGTGAAACTTGACAAAGATGGTTTCCGAATTCAGGCATCCCTGTATCCGGAAACCATATGTACACCTTCTAAACTTTGAACTTTCTGAAACACTGGTTAGTCCCCTTCAATCAGCCCACCAGGCTAACAAAAGAAGCTAAATTTTTTTCATCCATGTTTTATCAGCAGTCCACCCCAGACCACAGTGATATCGCTAATGGTTCCTCTTTCTTCAAGCAATATGACGAACTCCTAGACTAATACAAACACTTGAAGATCGATAAACATCCAATAGCAAATAAACCCATCGATTCAGAAATCATAGCAAATCTCCAAGACTCAACTCATGAAATACATCCTCCATCTCTTCGCAAGATTCAAATTTACATGATAAAACCATATAATAGTCACAAGTTTTCAGTACTAGTCTATTGTAAATGAGATTGCTTCACCTTCAATCAACGTCCTATGAAATTCTTTCTTGCATTTCCACATAAATGGTACTCTTTCCACTCCATATTAGACCTCTTTCTTGCTCAAGATCACATATGTTATTACATTTTAAAGTCACAATATAGTATATCCTGCAACAACACTCCCATTAAAACCTCGTTTTAGCAAGTAAACATAGACTCGAGCATGTTAGAACAACGAGCTAATCTTGACAAATTAGATGCAATAGAATTTCATAGCAACTCACATTATCTTCATTCATAAAATAACAGCCAATAAGGTGCTTCGGATACAACATTAACCATAAAAATAGAACGAATTAAGCTCATAAACTAAAACTCACAGCACATCTTTAGAACCTAAATCATCCAACATTGTTAATCATATACACAATATAACAGCATCTCAACTCTCATTAATCCATTATATTTCAAATTTCGAAGATTTTAATAACAAATCTAAAAATTTCTCCCCATTAATCTATACCTGAGAAATCAAAGACAAAATGAACAATCGATTCGCAAATTAATCAATTGCACAAAGTTATTGATTAGCGCCACTACTGGAACCAGCTTCATGCGAGCAACAACCATGATCATGGTGTTGTTTATCAGCAGCATTGGATTTATCAGCAACATTATCATCTTCATCATCACTAGTATCTTCATCAAAGGGTTTCTCCTTGTGAAAAATACAGCATTTTTTGGAGCTTTTCTTGTTCATAAATTCATTATTGATTGTGCCTTCTTTCCAGGACACCTTCTTCTTGCGATTCAGACGAAGAACTAGGGTTTCCGCTTGTTGTTGTTGATTTGAAGATGGGGTAGATTCTAGGGTTAGGGTTTGAGAAATTGTGGGTGTTGCCGTTCTAGTGGTGCTCATCGTTTTATCGAATCGACGAAAATTTGAATTCAATTGATTTGGGGATTTTTTGTGTTAGGGTTTGAAGAGAGGAAATTGGTAAAGGATTACTTTATAAAATTGATTGAAATTAATGAGTTTGATTTTGACAGCTTCAGGGGTTTCCTATTTATAGATGACTACTTGCATACGAGAAAGTCCTAGTCGCAATTGGGCAAATGACGCAAATCATACGGAATACAAATTATACTAATCAATATCAACGATATAGTGCATTCACATGATCATGCCTTTACCAAATAGTGAGTTGGTTGACCGTCTCTTTTTTATTCACCATTTGCATTCAATTGCAGATGTTTGAAACCACTCCTTGATCTCATATAAAAATTGGTTATGGGTCACAATTTCCAATAGATATTTTAACGATCTGCTTCTAAACTTTATACAACACCTAATCACTATAAAGGAGCGTCTAATATGTATATTGGAAATGGAATGGAAAGGAAACAAATATGGAGGAACAAAAAAAATCATTTAACTCTTATCTTTTCTTTTGTTTAGTTTAACCATGGAATGTAATCACTTAAAGCTAACTCCTTTTATTTTCATTTGAGGAGGGGTAATTGTTACCTTAGATAGGTGAAAACTATTACCCAGGGAAATGGTAATTGTAATCCAAACTTTCAAGTCTAACCAAACACTTGGTATCTACATTCCGTTGATTATTGTCACATGAGATAATACAATTGATATGTGCAACACAAATAAAGACACGAAGGTTGATGCAATGATTAGTGACTACATAATAAAAAAATAAAAATAAATTGAGTGAATATATATGTGTTTAATGCATCCGTCTATCCAAGTACATAATCTCATCTAACCTATTTAAAGTTATAAAGTGATTTTTTCACCTAAAGAACCCTTATCTGATTTTTTTTTAATGAACATAGATTTAGATGTGGCAAATATATTGACTATGATATCAAAGTAACTCAAATTATGCAGATTGTTTTCTTATAATTATGTTTCTTAATCTGTTTGAATTAAAAATATTAAAACAAATTAGAAAAACAGCTCCCTATGGCCAATAGCCCGTCTAGCTCAGTTGGTAGAGCGCAAGGCTCTTAACCTTGTGGTCGTGGGTTCGAGCCCCACGGTGGGCGTTACACCAGTATTTTTTGCACCACCTTGCTGTTCAATGTTCGATTCTACAAACAGAATACTCAAACATAATGATTTTTATCAATATACATTTAATTTACAGTTTAATCTGAAAAGTTACTTAGTAATTGAAGAGTTGTCAACTAACTATAGATTTGCACTAAAGATCTTGGTATGCTTAAGGCGATCAATAATATCAGCAACAGAACCCACTGCAGAAATGACAGAAACAAGCAAAGCAAACAAACATAACCCTTGAAGCATAAACCACTTGACCCCTCCTTTCTTTAGATCAACCTGTTTCATGTGCATTCTTACTGGCAAGTAAACTGTCAAGGGAAAAAAGGCGATTGACCCTAACAGCCCCAACACTGCATTAAAGAACGGGAACATCATGGCAGTTAGCACGGTGATGACAACGACTAGGGGTCTTAGGAGAAGCCGGCATAGCGTGAATTGGAAGCGTAATGTCTTGTATCCTGGGAGTTGTATTGTGTATGTATTGTGGATGAACCGCGCTGCTGGCCATCTCATGGCTAGCCACTTCTCGTAGCCAGTGGCGGATCCAGGATTTCCGAGATAGTGTGTCACCATCAATTATTGATCATTTGTGAAAGTACAATTTTTTTTCCATGTCTTGTTCATAATTAATTTCAATCCAAAACTTATATATATACATATATATGTATATATACATACATATATATGTATATATACATATACCAAATTGATTTCAATCCAAAAATAGGACACAAAAATTCATATCACAACCAAATACAATACTTAAGAATTCAATTTTTACAAGTCGAAAATACTACAAATAACATGTTATAAACCAATGGTACAATAAAATTATTATATTGAATTAACTTTATGATTTTTTAGTTAATTGATAAGCTTTATGGGGAAATATTAAAATTGGTTGTACAAATATAAGATATAAAAAGGGAAAAAAAATTATTAAAAAATTATACAAAAAAAAGTGAGATAACTTAAAAGACCAGTTATTAAATATAACTGGTCTCTTTAATGAAAAAGAAAGTAACGCAAAAAAATTGTGAAATGCAATAGCAGCATCAAAGAGACCTCTTATATAAATAACAGGTCTCTTTAATATATAAAAAAAAACACCAGCAATAGCAGCATCAAAGAGATCTCCTATCTTAATAAGCGGTCTCTTTGATATTGTTTGTTGTTACCACTAGCAGCATCAAAGAGACCCCTTATCTATAATAAGTGGTCTCTTTGATATTTTATTTTTTAAAAAAAATACTGTGTCACCGGACCCACTATGACTAAAGGTGGGTCCGCCCCTGCTCGTAGCTAGCAAATATTGGTTGTGCAAATACCTGAACATGTGTTATGAGTTTATGACCACCATCCAATTAGCGAAATTAGTTGTTGTAATAGTTGCTAGGTCGATATAGGCTACATATATAACTAGCTATGATAACTTTGATGACATTTATGGTACATAATAATAGTGATATACACGTACCTGAAATGCTGCAGTTAAATGTATAACCACCCCAATATTGGCAAGGTCAACTAGCCAAAAGGGTTCATGGAAGGCAGTGAGAACGTTTCCTGGAGCCTCATTACCAAAGGCAAGGTATCCCATACAACCCAAGGAAACATAAAAGGCGGTAGTCAATGCAATGCTGTACAAAGCTGCCCTCTTCATCGTTTTATTCTCAGCTGGAGGCGATTTTAACGTGTCCTGAAAGCAGAGTATTAATAGAGAAGCAGTCAGTTAAATTCTGTTTTAATCAGTAAAATTCAAATAGTTTGGTTAAAACCAATTGAAGAGAGCACATGCATGCGTAGTATTATACAATAATACCTCAATCTCAATGAGCAACTGAGCATAGGTGTAAGAGAAGGCAATATTTCCAAGAGCTTGAAAAGATTGCCAGAGTTTAGAGGACAAAGTGAGGCCATTTGTCCCAATCTCGACACCAGTTAGGTTGCCTCTAAGCTCGGGATGAGACACGAATTTGGCTACACATAAATATAGTGCAACAAAAGAGTAACATAGTGACATAGTGGCCGCGATTATTGAGAGGAAAGTCACCTTCTCGAGGCTAGGAAGTTGAGAGAGTACAATATGTATTGCCCCAAAAATTAGCAGGAAAGAGTTGCTTGATGGTTGACAATCAGCTTCTGGTCCTTCTGTGTGGTAGCAGTTTGTTCTTTTAACAGACCTAAATAAAATTTGTAAAATTAAGAATCTTTGTTAATGCACTAATGTAATACAAAGTAGATGATGAAAATAATGGCCTAAACTATCAACTGTTGCACAATTATCATGCAAAAACACTCACAACATGCTTGTTGCTGCTGTAATTGTATAACCAACAATTGTTCCCCAAAGCAAGGAATACTGAGCAAAAGCACAGATAAACACCTCTTTTTTTCCTGTAACATTTAAACATCAATAATTTCATTCTAATTAAGATTGTAATAGTAGTGAGATGCTCGTTTGATCACCTAAGGTAGCTCGTACGACTTCCATGTAAGAGTGGTTCCTCTGGCCCTTGACAGGGTCAGGAGTCCGATAACAGTCGCAGAGTAAACGGGCAGTAATGTAAGTAATAACAGCAAAACCAAAGAGAGAAAGTGGCCCATAAATTCAACCCATCTGAGCAACACTCCATGGCACTGCTAGCACACCTGATCCTATCACTGCTGTTACCGCGTGTGCTGTTGCAGTCGATACAGTTCCTGTAAGTTGTACATTTTTTTTGTTCATGTTAGAAATTATTAAGATTTCCATCTTTCTTACATTACTTTGTACAACCTAATCAGTCAATGTAACCTTGTTGTACGGTTTAATTCACTTGTTTGAGTATTTTTTTTTTCAATCAATGAGTTGTTACTTGTTAGCATTAAGTTGTGCTACCATTAATCAATAATAATGTATTGAATAACTCTGTAAAAAAGTGGGTTGAAATAAAAATCTAAAATCAAACATGATAGATAATATACGTAGAATATTCTTTGTTTAGGTTTAAGATGGCCACATTTTCTTTGCTAAAATGTAATGATGTGGTTAAAAAAAGTTCTTTGTACGTAAATTATTTAGGGTTACTTTTTGTAAGACTATGAAGTTGGAAAAGATGAGTTACTAATCAGAATAATTAGCTACACTTTAAATTTAATTTCTTTGTTCTCCTTTCCTTTTTATTTAATTTTATGATTAGTTTTTCTACCAGTCGGTATCAATGAAGGTGAATGTGATGCAGTGATGGGCAACACACCAGTGACTCAGAGTGCATGAAAAAAAAAAACAACCACTCAACCTACAAAAAAAAATAGCGCTCATGTGCTCAACTAAAAAAAAGTTATTAGCTTTGTTTATTCTTGTTAGATTGACTCCTATTATATGACATAATCCCTTTCTTTTATGTCATTTAATTAGATGGAGTAATCATATGCTCTACTTTCCAAGTTTTAAGGAAGTTTTTGGTAATGACTTCTAAGGCTATTTTACTAGATCACCTCATCTCAATATAACGAGTAAAGTTTAATAAAAATAAGTCAAGTTCAACAAATATTTTAGTCTCCACCTTCATAAAAACGACACTAATCTAGTAAGGTGATTGATAGAAATCAAATGTAATATTATTCATTCTTAAACTCGATAAAAAAAATATAGCTCCTAGCTTTTTCCCTTGACTAAAACTTAATCAACATTTTTTTTTCTTATTTAAATAACAAAAGTTAGTAATTAACAAGCAAGGAAGAAATAATGAAAACATTGGATTAGAGCAATTAATTACCTGTTCTAATGCGGCCATCATCATCAAAATTCATTGTTACTGAAATTTTGATGGTATGAAGTTAGCTTTCAGGCTGCTGCTACTTCCAGTGAGAATAATCTATCATGTATCTTGGTTTGTCTAATACAAGTATATAATAGGAGAAAAAAAGTAGTTCTTGCTGACTCAATAGTTAATGATTATTATGTATGTTAGTGGATGCTTGGGTTGTTTCTAAAAGAACTTTTAATTTGAGGTTACAACACTATATATGGGATAATTATAGTGGGTCATGATTTAGAGATTCACACTGTATTCCACTAAAATTAATCAAAGTTTATTGGGAAAAACTTCACCAACTTATATATGTATGTAATACTACGTATGTAATTTGGGGGATCTTTGATTTTCATGGATTTTGGAATCTCATCCACTTAACTTTGTTTTTTTCACCTACTTTTGCTTGTAATTTGGGGGATCTTAGGTTTAAGGTAAAAATCATCACACAAGTACATTCAATTTAGGAAATGACATGCCAACCATATTATCATATACATATATAAATTAATTTACAAACACATATATGTTCGTGAATTAATAAGCAGTGTTTGGGTCCAGTTCACTCCAGTTGAGCCAGTCCACAAATGATTTAATTACAAAGTCCAAAGAAGGTTTAACTCTCCTAAAAACATGTCAGGTCAGTCAAAGGCCCGGTCAACATGACAAGCCCATTTGACTTTAAGGTCCAATTTATCTATTTGAGCAAGGTATAAAAGCCTTGACTTCCCTCTCTCTCAATTCATTCACTTCAAGCTTCAAGCATTAACTCTCTTGCATAACTTTCTCTCTCTAAACACTATACTGACTTCGGTATCGGAGGGGCCTTCCTCGGCACAATTCCCGAGGCTAGTTTACGTGTGTTTGCTGTGCAGGAAACCCTCGTCCCGGTCATCACTTGCGCCGAGTTCAGTCTTCAGCCCGCAAGCCAGTCGTCGAGCTACATTGAACCCATTCTCGTAGCCCTCGTCATATTCGGCCTTGGTATAGATCCGCACCTACAGGAGCTTCTGAGCCTTTTCGAGCTCAGTTTGAGTCTTGACAGCCTCCTCCTTCTGGGCCTTCAACAGATCCTGAGCCTTCTTGAGCTTGTTTTGAAACCGGGAGGACTCCACCCGTTTGGCGTTCAGCTCATTTTGGAGTCGCTGAAATTCATTTTGAAGATCATTTTGCCTTCTCAACGACTCTTCCTCAGCAGCAACAAATCTCTGCCTGAAATCCTCAGCCATCATCTGCTGAGTTTCCTCCTGCCGTTGCTACATACCCTAAATCCGAGACTCGAGATGGGGAATATATGATCCTCTAGATTCTTGAAGACAGTCTCTAAGACATTCTTGGCTGCGGCAACCTCTTCCTCAGCAGCTGTGGCATGGAGCCCAGCAAGATTAGCTCGGCATTCGGCCTCGTCCAGCTTGAACTTCAGCTCCACATTTATTTCCACTGTCAGAGTGTGGTTCTGAACGACCTGAAGGAGTTAAAAGCAAATCAGCCGAAGTGAAAGAGTTATATATATATATATAAAACCTTTAGCGAAAATTCATAAGTACAAGGGGCTATACCTGCATTAGCAGCTTCTAGTTCTCAGCAAAAGGATCAGACACCCTCACACTAGGCTCGACTATCCCAGCAGTAGCCCTGATTGACCAAGTCTTAGCTTTCTCCAGCTCGGGTAGGCCAGACAAGTCGCCAAAGAATAAGACTGTTGCATCTCGATGCGACCAAAGGACGTTCCTGGTGTTGTTAGGGACAAGAAGCAATGGGACTAATTCAAACCCCATGTCAGCAAACTGGAAAGTTCTGAAGGAGTTGCCCACCGAAGTTGAAGGCACATCAAATCCCTTTGCAGTCTCTGCTTCCGTCTCAGCTTCAGCACCTTTCGGGGTCTCAGCATCGAAGCCCTCGGGCTTCCCACTCAGGATATGCACCTCTTCATCCTCAGTCTGGACTATTAAGTTGTCCAGAGCATCAGCTTCTCGCTGAATCTCGTCAACAAAAGGCTCGGCCACATGCCGAGGAGATGGAGGTGTTGGACTGAACCTCCTGAGTCTCAACCAGCGGCTCAGAAGGAGGAACCTGTTCCTCAGCCTTCTCTTCGATTGGTTCGGCTAGAGTCTCAGGAAGAGGAGGAGTTTTCTCCTTGGTCTTTTCTGCTTTCTTTTCCTCTGGCAGGCTTCTTGGCAGGCACAGGGGCAGCTTGGAACTGCCCATGTCCGATAATAGCTCTTCGCTTCGGCCTTGCCATTTCTTCGTCCGAAGAAATCTCTTGGGCAATTTCAGCAGGTTCGTCCTTGTTCTATTCTTCCTCGTCTGACTGTAGAAGAAGGAACAGGGGGGCAAGGAGCCATAAAAAAAAAAAGTCAAGCTAAGTTTGAAAGTTTACCGAAGTTTTGAGCAGACGCTCGTCTTCGTCTTCACTTACTTCAACGTACTCCTGGAGCAGCTGTTTCAACTCGCTCAGCAACGGGAGCAGAAGTCCCATCAGCGGCGGAACTCTTAGCAGCAGTAGAGGCACGAGCTGCAGCAGCTTGTTCCTCGGCAGTTAGAACAAAGAAGGGGCGCTCTCATTCCACTAAGATTTCTGCTGTTGATATTCAGCCGCGCTGACTACCTCTAACCTTTTTTCGTGCAAGCTGAGAGGCCAATCCTTCGAGTCAGTGATCTTCGGGGTGTTGGTCATCGGATTCCTCTCCTGATCGATTATGAGCACTTCGTAATTGATCCCGGAACTCTCTCCGTACAACACTGAAAAGACAAAACAACAGTTAGCTTCAGCGAAGAAAATAAACATCGAAGAACAAGAGAAATAAAAAATAGTCCTCGGCCCCAGCCGAGCTCCTTACCGCCTTGGTATCTTCGGTTGAGGCGGACAACAGCGAGCATCTTCTCTTGGAAGATGTAGTGGTAGCAAGGTAGCCAGGTAGTAGGCACGTCCTTCATTCGGCCTGTGGCCCCACGCACTGTGGTCCGACCGAAAAGTGCCATCTGTTTCTGATCCGCTTCGGAAAACTCATCAGGGCCGATGGTAGGCATGCTGTGGTCAAGCTTTCTCAGATACCTTGGCACACCAAAGTAGTTTGGATGGTCTTCATCTTGGGGCGCCCTTACCTAGATCAATTGACCCCTCCAGTCTTTATCCGAGGTATCTTTTGGCCAGACCGAAAGGTATGGTAGCCCTTCTCATCTTCAATCTGCCACCAGCCGGGCTCATGAAATCTGTTGGCCTGGGTGTTCGGGACTAGTTCACTACTAGAAATAGGCTTATTTCCGAGGGAAAGCTTCCGACGGACTTTAATTCCCTCGGAAAATTCAATTTGGCTCCAAATGCATCCCAAAACGTAGGGACTTGTAGTTTTTTGTGATTTCAAGTCATGAACCCCTTATAATACCTATAATAGACATGTTATGAGAAAGAAATAGGTCATTTGGTCGAAAACGTAGTAAATGGGCAAGGAATAGGTCATATAGGCCATAGTTGGCTCGATTTGGCTCCAAAGTGCGTCCCGAACCTTAGAGAGTTGTAGTTATTTGTGATTTCAAGTCATGAACCCCTAAAAATACCTAAAATATGCATGTTTAGAGAAAGAAATAGGTCATTTGGTCGAAAACGTAGTAAATGGGTAAATTATAGGTCATATACTTTATAGTTGGTTCAATTTGGCTCCAAATGCGTCCAAAAACGTAGGGACTTGTAGTTTTTTGGCATTTCAAGGCATGTAACCCTTAGAATACCTGTAATAGAGATGTTTAGAGAAGAAAATAGTTCATTTGGTCAAAAACATAGAAAATGGGCAAGGAATAGGTCATATAGGCCATAGTTGGCTCAATTTGGCTCTAAAATGCGTCCCAAACCTTAGGGAGTTGTATTTTTTGGCATTTCAAGGCATTTAACCCTTATAA